CCTTCTTGAGAGGCTAAGCAATCCATAGGCCATAAACACAAAAATAACCCAATGGGTTACAGAAGATACGAGGAAGCCACTCTTTAATAATGCCAATGTGACCCCAGGTATCTGGAACTTCCCTTCAGTTTCCTGGTGGAATTCAGTTGTAGAGCCATCATGAAAAGCACAGTTTAATCACAGCTGTTACTCAAATATCCTCAAGTACTGCAGCAAATTTGACAACGTAAATAAAGGGACTTTTGGCATTATTTGGCACATAGTAGGTAGTCAGTAAATACAGGCTGGATGTTACTTTAAATGCTGGGAAGAATCTGACTAACTTTATGTTTACATATTGAAAAGCTCTTTGAGTAGCTCTTCAAATATATTTAGGTAACTCAGACATAAGTGTAAACTATAATTTTGATCGGAAACGCATAAATAAGCAGCATTAACACTTTTAATCAAGGTCACAATGGAGAGTCCAGTAGTGCCTAGAAACTGGATTTGCAGATAGCAATAATTACAAACCATCATTCCTCTAGTTATTGCAGATCAGGGGCATTTTATTTAGTTCCAGGAACTCCCGAAGTTGTATGCAACATTAAAAGGGGGGCTTATTTTTATGTGTGTATTTCTGGAGAAAGGAGCCACAACTTTCATCCAATTATCAAAGGCTTTGTGAGCCAGAAAAAAATGATTAAGAATAGATGCTGTTGATGACGGATTTCAGGAGGCACTCAGATTGCTCAATAGATGATTGCTTAATTTGCTTCTCCTTCCGACTTTCAGGCCCAGCAGGAATATGAGAATTCCCTAAGCTTAAATTACTCTAATATCCAATAACAATTCTTTGGAGTCATGTTATTAAAAAAACTATTTTTCCCCCAAAGGGACTGTATAAAAATAGACACTCGGGGAGATTTTAAATTCATAAGTATGTGGTGAGCAAGTGTATACTTTTTCTTAATCACTTCCGCTCATTTATCTCTTTCCCCAGTTAGCTTCCTTTTCCTGGAACTCAGGACTGATCCCAGGTGGCCACAGTGACGGATTCCCACAGCAGGACCGCGTGAGAAGAGATTTTAAACACAAGAGAAACCACCAAGGCTGAGTTCTGAGACTTACTGCAAACATCAGAGGCTGTCTTTCTGGGCTGTTTGAGAAATTCTTTACACTCCTGGGTGCTCTTTCTCAGGGAAGAGACCCATATCCTCCTAAGACCTTCCAGGGTGCAGAGACGGCGACTCTCTAAGCTCCGAAAGGCTCCGAGGAAAGCTGCAGCAGTTTCAGGAGGAGAGTGTGTCCTCGCTATGTGGTAGTGTCCTCACGGGCACCAGGTTCCAACTGAGGGTCACCTGGAAGCTTGAACCCTGCAAGCGGATGTACAAGGATGGACAGGCCCACACCTTTGTCTCCTTTCACTGAGCCCACGGGAGTCCCAATCCCAGCAGGTTCTGTTTGGCTCCAGGCTTGGGGGTGCTGTGAACCCCTCAGATATACAAATGGCTTGTGTGTTTTCCTGGGAAAGGTCTCTGGGACTTCAGATTCTGAAATGGTTTTGTGATTTACCCCCAGGAACTCTGCAAGGGACAGGCTACTTTCCTTTCTTAGTCAATCCCTTCTCCAAGATAATGCAGAATCAAACTATCAGAAGGCCTAATAAAATGAGGTTGTCATCGCAAGCAAAACTAGTTCTACAACCTGCTTTTCTGTTTTTTTTTTTTTTTAAGTTCCATGTAAAAATAAATACTTCTCAACCAAAGTTAACTGTAGCAAATGTCCATAAAAAAACCCACAGAGCACATAGGGATTTTTTTAGTTGCCTTGTTTTCAAAGTGATGATACAAAAGAAAAGCAAATCTCCCTATTTCAAGCCGCAAATTGCAGGGAGCGAGGGGCACCCCGATCTCTGACGTGGTACTGATCTTTTCAATGAGAATGCCAGGCATCAAATATTTAGATTTTTAGAATATTTTAATGTCCATTTCTTTAGTGGATGCATTTTGAAATTATTAAAATTAACAATTTTTACCAAGAATAAAAGCAAAGGAAAGGTAGAAAATGCAAACAGTTGGTCCTTGCTAATTTAATTTCAGATTCCAGGCATGATGTGATTTTTCTGAAACCATCAACCAAAAAAAAAATTTTTAAAAATGTTTACCTCAAAAATTTAGAAATGCAAACGCAGACTGATCTTTGGGAACGACAGGTTATTACAGACCATGTAGCGGGAGCACGCGGCCCTTGGGCTCTCCATGTCATGTGCAAATGTGCAGGTGTCTCCACACGCGAAGTCGGTGTCAATGGAGTCGTGTGCAGGTGTGGCATAATCTGTGCGACTCTTCAAGCTACTTAAGGGTTTAATTACTGATGCTCTACATTTGTTTGCATTGGATAAAATTATGTGCTTGTTTATACATCTATATATATAATTTGATCTGACCTGGGGCCAAGGAGAAAATAGCAATTGCGACTCAAAGCGACTATTTACACACATTCATTTCTGAAGTATTGCTTCCTGCCCTAAGTTCAGAAGAGGTATCGCTACTCTGAAGGACGCACCCATCGTGCCGGTAGTGCTTGAACCTGCTGCTTAGAAACCCACCTGTCTTCAGCAACTCTCTGTTCAACGCCCACGGGGTGAGACTCACAGCGGTTCCGCTGCAGAGATTCTGAGGCTCCGGGATGAGGTATGCTTCAGAGCAGGGAGCTGGGGACGGCTAGAGAGCACATCCGAACCGGCTGTTTAGGAAGGCTCAGGGCGTTCTTAGACAATCTGGAACTCTGGGGAAGCCGCCCATCAAAGGCTCCGGTGTACACAGAGCTGAACCAGATCACCATGTGGTCTGACTCTCTCCCGATGGTTTGCAGCCTCTCGGATTCCCAGGGCCAGGAACCATCAACACCTTTGTAGGTGGGGAAGGGGAAAAGAGAGTTTGCTAGGAAGGAAGTGTGTGCACAGATGAACTTTGCAGAGCAACAACAGAGACACTGGTAGCAAGTAGGCAACCGCCCAGCCCCTTAGGTGCCGCCACAGCTCCAGAGCCTGAAGCGGGCAGGCAAAGGAACGGAGCCACACTCACACACACACACTGAATACTGAGGGGAGAAACCCCAGGCACGACCACACTCTTACAGACAAGGAGAGCATTTAGGTAGTGTTTTTGTTTTGTTTTTTAAATAAAAATAAAAATAAAAATTCTGCAATATTTTATAAGAATACATTCTTTAGAAGCAAGAGGTATTGTCACAACCATCCTTTCTCCGGCGTTGGAAGAACAACAAAGTGACGGTGAAACCTGAAGGAGAGTCGTGGTCACTGATCACGCTCCGTTCCCCAGGGCGGCGTGGCCCTGGCGATGGCTGAGCAGCCCGTTGGCGACCCCCTGGGGAGATGGCTGATCGGAATCGACGTGTCATGATGCTGGAAATGGCAGATTCTGTACACATTTGGGAAGGAGGGGGGATAACTTACACACAGAGTTACTGGTGAGAAGCACATGCACGGGGCATGGCGATGAAGACCTTACACAGAGAGGAAGATGGTTCTCAAAGTACCCCGGGAGCCGTGGGCCAGGGTCACCTTAAAAGTAAGTAGGACTATGGCAACGCCACGCTAGCCTGAGTTCAGCTCTACGTCAAGCTCAGACTCCATGTGGCAAAACGTAATTACAGGGAGGACTGGCAGCAAAGGGCACAGAGGTGTCTTCGCCCCCGTCCTGGATTAACAGCCCGTGGGCACCCAGACGAGTCTGCCCCCACATACAGTGCAAGACCTCCGTCTGGAGGGGGCTGGCCTTCGCTCACAGGCCCGGTCCTGCCTTCAACAGGCCCAGCACAGGCCGCCGGCAGGAAGGACAGACAGACGTCTTGAACGTGTGAAGGCCGAGACAGCGCCGGCACTGCCTGCCGCCCCGCGCTCTGCCCGGACCCCTGCTGCAGACCCCGCTGGTTCCTGCCCGCCCCGCGCCACGCAGGGCGGACGGGGAGCTTCTCTGACCCGAGTGCAGGCCGTGCCCACTGGGTGCGGCGCGGCCCCCTTGCAGGGCAGGTTGCCAAAGAGGCTAAAGCACCGGCAGGCAACTCCTCACCCTCCGCTGTGTGCCTCCAGCAGAAGGACCGGCATCCCCTCCCTGAAAACACATTTCCTGGCAAAATAAATAAATAAATAAATGCAACCCCCAGGCATTTATTGTCGTTTCCCTCTCAGGCGAGCCGGCCTCAAGGACAAACCCCTTCCCTCCCGGCTGGAAGACCCCTCGGCACGGCACGAGGGCAGAGTGAACGCAGCTTTCAGATTCCTGAGGCCTGGCTTCCCGTGCTTAGCCACGGGTTGGCTGGCGTTGGGAAGCCTGGCCTGCGTGCGGAGGCACGGGGAGCGGGGCGCCCACAGCCCGCCGGGGCCGGGCGCTCTGGAAGGCGCAGGGAGGGAGGGGTGCCAGGCCGCCGGCTGACCGCTGTTCTCAGCCCGCACCCCCCGCCTTGACCTCCCCTCGGTGAGTTACTGGCACTTGAGCTCAGATTCATAAGTGCAAGTGTGTGTGTGCGTGTGTGTATTTACATAGAAGGGTCAGGTCACTGGAAAACGCTATTAAGTATATAGGAAAAAACAAACCTCGAAAAACATGGCATTAGCAAAGAAAAGTGTCTCGTGAGAAAAAGCAATAAAAACGATATCTCGACCACAGCTTTTGTCTTAAAAGTCCAGCCGTACCCGATGCCGTGACCTCTGCCCTGTGGTCTCTGTCCCTCGACAGCCAGCCCCCGAAGGCACTTGTTCTCCACGCCGCTGAGCGGTGACACCGCGGGGAGAGGGTCCCGGGGAGGAGAGGAGAGAAATGGATGGAAACAAACCCTGGATGACTGTGATCTACACAGAAGCTAGGGCTGCAGTAACCACATGGCGCCACTCCTGGGGGTGGGAGCCGCGGCGCGCTCGGAGCGCACCACGGCCGAATACAAATATTATTGTGTTTCGAGGAACAGAGCACCGTGGGCAGCGGCCAGGGGCTGCGTCACACACTCTTGGAGACGTTGAGCTTGGTGAGCTCGTTGGCTTCTTCCATCCCCGTGTCTTCACAGTCACTCTTCTCTATGGCTTTGCCGAACCGACACCTCTCTTCGGCTCTCACGGGCTCCTTCCAGGGTCTCTTAGAAGACAGGTGGGGGTCCTTGGCCTGGGCGCTGTTCTCGGAACCCAGAGATGGCTTGTCCAAGTTCTGTACAGAAGGCACCAGGTTGGCAATCTCGTCGGTGGGAGACCGCCCGATGCTGCCGTCCACCTGGACGCGGATGTCCGGGGAGATGGACAGCTGGTGCTGAGGCACGACGCCGTTGTCCGAGCACTTCGGGTAAAGGTAGGTCTTCATCTGACCTTTGCCCTTGACGTTCACCGTGCCCCGGTAGTCGAAGTCGTAGCCCATCTTGCTGAGGACGCGGTAGCTCTCCTCGCTCACCTGGATGCGGCACTCCACCCCCGTGGTGTCCATCCGGCTGGCGATGTTGACGGTGTCCCCCCAGATGTCGTACAGCAGCTTGGTGGTGCCGATGACGCCCGCCGTCAGCGGCCCGTGGTTGAAGCCGACCCGGAGCTTGAAGTTGAACCAGAGCATGTTGTTGTTGAAGTCGTCCACCACGCGCATCATCTCCTTGGCGAACTCGAACAGGATCTGCAGGTGCTCCTGCGGGTGGCTGCCGTCCTGGCACTGCGTGGCGTTCAGCCCCGAGGCGGCCATGTACGTGGCCCCGATGGTCTTGATCTTCTCGATGCTGCTGTAGTCGGGCTTGCTCAGGAGCTCGTCGAAGTCGCCGATGAGCTCGTTGAGGACCCGGTAGCACTCCTTGCCCCCCTCGTAGTTCTCCTCGTAGAACTCGCTGAAGTTGACGATGCTGGCGAAGATGACGCCCCCGTTGTCGTGGTTCTTGGAGTAGGTCTGGGACACCTTCAGCTGCTCGGCCACGTGGTAGGGGATGATGTTCCTCAGCAGCCAGTCCGCCTGGTCCCTCATGCTCTGGATCTTGGTGCGGTGGAGGTCGGCCTCCACGTCCCCGTGGTAGTGAAGGCGGTAGCTGACTTCGAATTCCCGGTTCAGGAACCAGACCAACAAGAGCAGGAGAAAGAAGGCGAGGATCACCTCCTGGCCAATCAGGCTGACCGGTCTCCTGCTGTCAGGTGGCAACGCACTACTGCACGGGTCTCTCTCGGAACTGGAGAGGAGAGAGAAGAGAAAGATATCTCTTCTTACATGCATCTCTTAGAGAAAAGGCTACTGTCTGTGCTTCCAGGTTCTGAAATAGCCCTGCTAGCCAGCATCCTGCACAAAATGTTCTTGAGCTCAAGCCTCCAGCAACTGCAGCTGCAGAAGCCATTCCTGCTTAGTTGGCTAGCTAAAGACATGGATAACGACTGGCTTTTGTAACTGTTTTCTTTAATAAGTGTTTTGTCATTGCTTTGCTTTTCAGAAGCTCTTTGGTTTAAAAAAAAATCTTTTCTTTTTTCCCAACTTTCAAAAATGTCAACCCTGTAGAAATGTTAAAAGACTAGCAAAACAAACCTTCACACATCCTTCTCCTGGATTCAACAGTTGTTAACGTTTTGCCACTTTCCCTTTTCTCTCTGTCAACATGCACACACGCTTACACATTTGTTGCTGAACATTATGAAAATAAGTGTAGACACTGAATGGTTCACTATGGGTCTCTTGAGGATAAGGACCTATCCCTACATAACCACACCATTATCAGACTCAAGAAATTTAACATTCTCTTTTTAGGTTTCTAATCCAACTTTTGCTTTGAAAGACTTGTAATTTTACAAAGGAAGTTTCTAAGTTCTCTACTCTCTGCCTGTATAAATGTTTGGCAAAATACCACCCCTCCCCCAGTCTGAGTTAGTTCTGTTTCCCCCAGTCCCTTAAGATAATTTAACGTTTAAAAAAAAGTATAAAATGTATACTTATAAGAGTTACACAATGTAAGAATCTCAAACAATATAAACAATGAAAAATATGTGTCCAAGGTAACCAACACTGTCATTTTCTTGAGGTTGTACACTATTCTAATGCATGGATGCACAGCAAGCATGTCAAACTTGCAGCCCGCAGGCTGCATGCAACCCACAATGAATATATCTGTGGCCCTGCCAATATAACGATATGTAAAAAACATTTTAAAAAAATTTTTGTAACTTAATTTTTACAATAGCCTTTTATGCATGATCTATATCTATCTATCTATCTATCTATCTATCTATCTATCTATCTATCTATCTAAAAGCCTAATATGTAAATTGTCCCCATGGGAATTTGACTGGGAGACCAATCGCTTACTCTGACGTGCACTGATCACCAGGAGGCGGCACGGAACGAAGGAAGGCCCTGGCCAGCATCCAGCAGCCAGGGAAGGGAGGCCCCAACTGGCAGCCAGAAGGAAGGCCCTGGCCAGCAGCCGAAGGCCCTGATCGGCCTTCGTCGCCGACCAGGCCTAGGGACCCTACCTGTGCACTAATTTCATGCACTGGGCCTCTAGTTATTAATAACAAACTACAATGTTTGCTAATGACTGATTACTATAATCGTTTTGCATTCATTTCCCTTACATGCCTTATATGCAGGCACATCATTTCTCTCCACTAAATATTTTAGCAGCCCACCATGTCATTAGTCCTTGACTGACTTGTTTGGTGTGCACAACAGGAAATATTTCACTTTTGGAGAACAAGAAAATAGGTTTATTTGAGTTTGACATGCTTGATGTGCAGTAACACCCAGGCCCCCTCCTGCAGGTGTTAGGTTGCATCCTTCTTCTACTACCGGGAGCAACGTTGCAGTGATATTCCTGCTCTGTGTCGCTGGGCACCAGAATGAGTGTGTCTGTGGGATAAACTCCTGTAAGTGGAATCGCTGTCATTTAAAATACTGTGCCCTGACAAGTCCCCTGGAAATCTCCAACGTGGCCTTTTAATTTCTACTCCCGCCAACAACCCAGCCTGCTGTCAGGGGCTGTTCTCTGGTTCCCCAGTGTGAAGGGAAATACCTATTCTGAATCTCCAGCACTGAACAAAAGAACTCTTTTAGATGGCTAAAACAGATCTGTCTGGCCCCTCACACCTCCGGTTGGCTTTAGAGTAGGGTGAGGAGAAGTAAACCTCCTCTCTGTGAAGGGGCCCAGATCAGCAGCTTCTTTCTATCTCTCCACCATGGAGACACAGGGGATCAGCCTCTTTACGAACAGACATCACCGAGGCTTACTGTTGTCCTAATAGCACGGCAGGGCCTGTGAGTCTGTGGCAGGAATGGGTGAGGTGTCTAGGTTTCCTCATTTGTCCTACTGGTCTTGTTGCTTTTCTTGCTGTACTGTGACCAAAGCCAGCAGACTGGCCCAGCTCTGGTGAAGGCACAGGCCAGTTCTCTTTGGCTGGAGAAGGGGAACAGTGAAGCGCGGACCAGGATGGCAGGGAAAGAGGAGCAGAATACAATGTTTGCTTTTACCTTTGCTTAAATGTTAAGCCTCAAAAGGAAGGGTCCTAATACACAGAATTACAGTTAGTACCCAAGGCCTGCCCTGTGACAGAAGAGATCTGTGACACAGATGGAAGAATTACTTCCGATCTATAACCCCTATTTCCTATTCTATTACAAAAGGAACCAAGGTGGTGGCCCTATTCCTAAATTCAAATAGCAAAGGCCATTTCAAAAGGAGGAATTCTATGTGACTAAATGCAAGGATCAATTTATGACTTAATAGTTGGACATTAGATCATAAATGAAATTTAGAGTAAAATACAGTGTAATTCATAACCATGGAGAAGGAAGATTAAAAAAATATATAGAAAACAAAGGTCACTCATGGTTCTAACCAGGTAAACACAGGGTTTGTTAACATTTTGCTGTACTTCAGTGCCATTTAAAATCTATGCTTGGGATGCAGGGGTGTGGGGTCACCAGGATGGGACGCAAAGGGGGATTCTAGAGACCTGAAAATGTTTTGTTTTTTTTCCCCTTGGTCTGAGTGGTATTGGTAATTGTGAAAATTCTTTGAGCTGTATTCTTAGGATATGAGTAATTTTATCTGTATATATTACACGTCCATAAAAATTAACTTTAAAAAGCTCTAAGTGTTTTGCTTTTAAGTACTATAATTGTCATCATATATAGAAACACATTTGCATTCTGCCTTTGTTCCATAGTTACTTTAATTCTCATTCCAAGATCTAAATGCCCACAGATATTTAATTTTTTAATTACAGAAAAAGTGTCATCATTCATCACTCATTCCTAGATCATAACTATTACATCTTATACTTTTCACATACAATGAATTAACCAGCTGTAGCTACAGAACTATGTGTAATTTCACAAAATAAGTGAAAACCATACATGTTCCCCACATTGCTACATTTTTAACAGTTATAAAATTTGAGTATATCATAATTAATTTATTTTTTATTCACAACTGAGGTTCATGATGAATTTTCAATATTATCAATCATTGAGATCAATATTTTTGGGCATGCAGCCTTTACCATACGCTGAATTATCTCCTCAGCAGATTAACAAAAACAGGATTATTTACATAAAGGCTATGAGCATTTTTGCAGATTGTCAAAGTACTTTCTAAAACAACTGTACCACTCTAAGAAGTGATGAAGCACAGTAGACAGAGCAGGGCCTCGTCATGAGAGGCCAGGGCTTACACACTGCCAGGGACCAGCTGTGGGACCACAGGCAGGTTCATAACTTCTCTGATCTGCAGCGTCCTCATCCGGAAAATGGGGACAAGGTTATCTCATGTGTAAAGTTGTTAATCAACCTTATATTTTATAAGTGCCTGGTAACCACACAAAATTATACACCACCAGAATTTATGACTGTGCCACACCCTTGTCTACGCTGGGTATTTATGTCTTAACTTTTAAAGATCCAATTTAAAAGCCCCAAAAGAATTCTGCAGTTATTTACATGTGCAATGACTTCAACAGTAATATATTTACCACCTACATTTCCTCTTGTGAATATTTTGGTGTTGTTTTTTCCCCCTGTCTTTTATTTATGCAGGTCTTAATTAACTCTTTTTTAAAACAGCGCCCCCCCCAAAAAATAAAAACAACAGTTCCACAAATGTTTTTCTTAGTCTGTTTTGATCCCCTTTAATCAATTTGTCTGTACATCCTTTTTTTTACATGTGGTTTCCATTATTATTTGTAAGATTGGAAAGTTATCTCTTAGAGGCTTGAAAGCTATTTAATTTTATTTTTCTAGATTTTTATATATTTTTATATATTTTTATATAATTTTTATTTTAGACTCTTCATTTATTTAGAATTTAGTTTGCTGTTTATAGTAAAGCGAGGGTTTATTATTTCAAATTTCTAGTCAGTTATTTCAAAATATTTTACTTTTCTTTAAATAAGTACTTTTAAAATAAGTACTTTTCTTTAGTTGGTGAGATCTCTTAAAGTCTTATATAAAATTAAACCAAATTTAACATATGGTTTAAAAACTTTAGCTTAGGGAGAAAGTAAGGGAGATAAAGGAGGGACGGGGGTGGGGGGAGAGGAACATCATAGTTGTTCCATTTATTTATGCATTCATTGGTTGATTCTTGTATGTGTACTTACTAGGGATGGAGCCCAAAACCCTGGTGTATCGGGATGATGCTCTAAACAACTGACCTACCAGGCCAGGGCTAACATATATCTTAACCATCATTTCACTTTCCCAATAAAATATAACTATGATCTGATATTTCAACAAGTATATATTTTTCTTTATTCTTTTAAGAATGCATATATTGTTCTTCTTATTTAAGATACAATGGATTTAGAAAGTTTAGAAATAATCAGTAATAGTATAGTTACTCTCACTGATTCAGATTTAAGCACAATGTTAAAAGCTTACCTGAAATTCTGTACTGCACCATGGTGGGAAATTACTTCGGAACTGAAATTAAAATAAATAAAAATATTATTATAAAAGGCATTGTATAAAGCAATCTGAGAAGACTTTAAATGAACAATTTTTATTTTTTATGTGGAGATCAAGTTAGACAGTTAATTTGATAATGTATGTTGAGTAAGAATACCACAGGTAAAGGCAATGATCTAGGTATAAAGCCTTTACATCAGCTATGGAGAATAGGCAAATCACCAAACAAAACAAAACAGGAAAACTCTCAAAGGCATATCTATACACATAAAAGGCTAATATTTCTTCTAATTTTTTCTTTCAATGTGCACAAATTCGTGCACCGGGCCACTAGTATTTTATAATTAGGATTTAATCAATGGTATCTATAGAATAGAAACTCTAGTCATGTTCAAAAAGCAGTATCTGCTGACAAAGGGTCAATTTTGAAAGGAACTGATAGAGGTGTTGGCAGATTACATCTTAGGGAGAAGCCAGACTTTGCTATTGCACTGAAACCCTTCATACTTAAAGAACTCTCTTTTGGTCAGGGAAGGTACACACATGCAGCTTTTAATCTCTCCACATTCTTAGCTATGACTTTTGGAGTTGTGTTACATCCAGAACCCACCCAGTCCTGAAATCAACGGCAAACTTCCGCATCCAGGGGTCTGGCTCACTGCAAAGGAGGACGTGGCACAGCCTCTGGGGGCAGCTCTCCTGGGCAGCAAGGGCCAGGTGAGGGCTCAAGAGTGGCTTTTATAATTACGTGAGGTGTTAAAGGACTTTGCAGAAAAGGAAAGAAAAGCAAGAGCTACATAACAGGTGAATTATAAGACTTCATATCCTCATCTCACACTGATGTCCAGACATGACTGTGACATCACTGTATCCACGCGTCTGTGTCCCCGAAACGCTGGCCACAGTTCCCAGAGTCCCCTCCCCTTTATAGGAGACATTTTTGTTTACCACCCCATATGTGCCCTACCCTGGAAAAGCTTAGCAGTGAAGATGGCTAACTGGACTCAGAGGATCTTGTGCGTGTGGAGAAGTACTGGGTCAAGGGGAGATTCACCTGCCAGCCATTCCCAAGACCTGTTATTTGAATTCTGGCAAAGAGGTGATGCCGGCTCCCCATGACCATGGCTCTCAGGGCCCCAGTGGAAAAGCTGCACCCCTGTGACTGAGTGACTGTAAGTAACTGATGAGGTGGTTTGTGATGGATCTAAAAGGATAAAAGGCAGTTTGCTGAATTTCAGGCTCTTGAGAAAGAGCTTCGTAATGACCATAAAGCCAGATGGCCGTGACTTCAGAAAAGAAAATGTAGGCTTTGTTCTGCTTAAAGTAATTTAACTACTCATTACGGTTTCCTTTCGAACACTAAGTGACAGTTCTACTCTATATTCCCCTGTTAATCTTAATTTGCACAGAACTTGAATATCCTTCATGTTGTTATTAAAGCAAATTGAGGAAGGACACTTACTCCGTCCATTACTAACCACTGCTTTGATTATAACCAAAGATACACTTTGGCAATTTCATTAGATATCGTGACAAACTGGATAACCTACCTTTTTTCCCCCCTGCTAATCCTCACCTGAAGGTATTTTTTCCATTGAGTTTTAGAGAAAGTGAGAGGGAAGAAGAGACACACACAGAGAGAAATATTGATGTGAGAGAGACACATCAATTGGTTGCCTCCTTCGTGCACCCTGACCCAGGCCGGGGATTGAGCCTGCAACTGAGGTACATGTCTTTGACTGGAATTGAACATGCGACCCTTCAGTCCATGGGCCAATGCTCTAACCACTGAGCAAACTGCTCGATAACCTACTTTTGAATTTACTAAAGCAATGGTTCTCAGCAATAATACCATGTCTAGGGGGCATTTTGGAAATGTTGGGGATCCCTCTGACTATCATAATAATCTGGGGAGCCATGAATATTAGAAATCCTACAAAGTACAATGAATAAACGTTTGATGTAACTCTGAAATATCCTGCTAGTCTAAACCCAGTGTAATTGTAAATAAGTGGTTCTTCTATACATGCTGAGAGTAAACTGTTTTTATAAGTAGTTACACAAAAAGTCCAAAATTTAGGCATATGTTACTGAAAAGGAAGCTTATTGGGTTCAAGACCTTATCATGCAATTTTTGAATAAATTCCTCACTTGTGTGCATCCTGCTATTCAAAGTATCATTATATTTTCAACTACATCTTAATTTGAAAATGATTAAAAACCACAAAATCAGTTGCAAATATGCAACAGGCAATTTTAAACTCATTGTAACAAACTAAGAACCAAACATTCTTCAATTATTAGAACATGTGAAAAGGATTTCATTAATACTAGTATACAACATTTCAAATACAGCACATATGTATATTGCCATCCAATGATTTTTTGTTGTTGTTAATCCACATCTCAGAATATTTTTTTCCATTGACTTTTAGAGAGAGTGGGAGGGAGTAATTGAGGGGGGGGGAGATAAAGAGAGAAGAACATCAATGTGTGAGAGAAAGATCCATTGGTAAGCCTTCCCCATGTCTCCTGGGACCAAGGCTCTAACCACTGAGCTACACCAGCCAGACCATCCTATTTTTATTTTTGCAGTTCAGCACAAAGAACTGATCCCGTCCCCAGGGATCTCTCACACAGCTTCTGTTTCTTTTCCCAGCCCACCCACTCTGTCCTCAGCACTTATCAGTGATATGGTTTTGAAGGCCATTTGAGTACCAAGGAGTCAATATGTTCTTCGACATGTTGAGGGATATCAAGATAAGAACCTATTTAAGTGATTCGTGATGACTCTGATGCTTCATGTGATAGCCTGGGGAGCTGTTATGACACAATATTTATGAATAATGCTCAGGTCCCTTGCACAGTCATACCTCTTCATTTCCTCTCCTTCAACAGTCTGAAATCTGTCTTGGTACATTAACCCTATTTCAAATTAGGTTAGAACCCACTTCCTCCTTTCATTTTTGTGTCCGCCTGTACCTTTATTCCTTCATTTTCTGGATTGTCTTGTATGAAACAGCACCTGGTCCGACCTTCCTAAATTCAAACGTCTTCATTATAAATAAGTTCAAACGTGTGACTACTGCATTCTCTCTCCCGGGGTAGTCAGCCTGGAGTGTCTAAATGCAGACACATTATATTATTAAATTTATTTTCTTTCTCTTTCTTTTGCACATTACTCTTTGGGCATCTCACCACTTGCTGACATTGTGGGTGCTGGGACAGTGGCTGTCTGTTAGAGCTGACAGTGTTCGTGCTGATGTGAAACTGAGGTGAGAGAGACATCGAAGTCAAGGGGGCCCTGCCATCGAGAGCGCCAGACACGAGCCGTGGCGGCCTACATACCTGTCCGGGCACAGGGAGACGTACAGCAGGAACAGGGGCCCGGCCCCCACGACAGTGGCCAAGGAGGAACGCATCCAGGAGCTGAACTGGCAGAAGTTGCAGTAGTGCACCACGGCGACAAGGATGGCCGAGTCCATGAACACGGTGAACTGCAACGAGGGGCGGCACTCCGTTAGGAACCCATCACCCCTCCCCTCAGGGCCCACCTGCCACCTGAGCACCACAAGGTCACACGGTTTGCTCATTTGTCCGTGTCTGTGTCAGATAAAAATATTGCAGTGATCGTAAAATATCCAGCAGTTTTGGGGACAGATCATGAATCATTAGGTTCATTACAGAAAGCTTCAGGGTACAAGTTCACGAAGGCCCTAAAGTTCTTCCCCAGCCCGGCTGGTGTGGCTCGGTGATTGAGCACCAACCTATGAACCAGAAGGTCGGTCAAGGCACTTGGCTCAATCCCCAGGAGGCAGTCGGTCAATGATTCTCTCTCATCATTGATATGTTTCTCTCTCTCTCCCCTCTCTATTTCTCTCTGAAATCAATACAAATATATTTTTTAAAAATGTTTGCCTGAAAAAAATATTATCCAGATGGTTGGAAATTACACTTTGGAGAAAAGGGAAAGTAGGCCACACCCTCTGAGAATTACCGTGTAATAAGTTACTTTCAAAAAGCCTTTCCTTCATGTACCTGCTGCCTATCAGTGGGAAGGTAATTTGATGTTCAAATATCAAATGCCATCAGCCCACCTGGTAGTTCATGTTATAGTCACTTTCACCCAAAATATCACCTTCCACCACAGCATTAATTCATTCTCGATGGGGTTTAGTTCAGAAGCTCTTGCCCTGATCAGCAGCAGCGAATTAGATAAGTCAATTACCTGCGCCAGTCCTGCCGACCAGCATGTGACCACATGATCTGGTGTTGCTTACAATGTTTCTTTATGTTATAAAAACATGTAAAAAAAATAGATGTGAACCTTGGTGGACAGGACACATATCTACTGGGCACTCTCCCCAGGGCGGGTCATTCACAGGTTTGAGCATCTGGACAGGCTTTGTGATAACCTCCCTGCCTGCTCCTCGGACCCAGGAAAGTCTTTTCAAAGTTTGTACTTTGAAGAATAACAGAGTCTGTACTTCTTTAAGGACCTATATTAAACTGGTGTCTCAAGTCATCAGACTTATTATTTTTTAAAAGTGATACAGGAGTCCGGAGAGCACAGAAATAAATTGCCAAGTCTTTACTTACATGGATGTTCATCTCAAATTCGGGAGTGATGTGTGAATAGACTGCGAGAGCGGGAAGTGACACCAGGATGGCCCCAATGAAATGGCGCGGGAGCCAGCCGGCTATCCACTCCAGCAGGCGCTTGGTACAAGCCATCGCATCCTCCAGGAAAAACACCATCCTGTAACGGGAGGAGAAAGGAGGCAGGGGTGTCTGAGTGGGTAGGCCTGCCAGAGAAGAGGAGACGGAGGATCCACAGCCGGCCCGCTGCCCTCTCTCACCCTTGCTGGTGCCGCTGGCGTGAACCACAGGCACATCCCCCAACCCCTCACTGTGGTAGATGGCAAGTACACTGGCCTTGCTCGGCTCAGCGTACCTGATTCACTTGATGCATTCAGATAAGATGTGCTTATGAAGAGCCAAGCAAGCCTCTGTGGGTCTAAAAGAGCAGGTACGCACTGGGCACACAGACACTAACAGATCCTGTGAAAGTGCCCACCACACTGTCATCTGCTTCTAAGGCAGGAGGTCTGGAGTGGGTGGTCCAGGGGCAGTTTTGGAATTCTGTGGGGCCCCATTGGTTGCCCCAATGATTGAGGGTTACTACTGACGTCTAGACAGGCATTCTGCAACGTGCAGGGAAGCTCTGTCCTGCGCCACACCTGACTGCCATATGCCCCCGGACTCATCTAGAGACGAAAAGCCTGCTGACAATGACCTCAGCCCTACAGCCTAGTTGCATTTTGTTTATAAACAGAAAGTGGCTTCTGCGAGTTGTCTTTTCTGGGAATACACTACTGAATAAACCAAGCAAGACTACCCTTTGTTTTGTCTGGGACATCACCACGATCGTTCAACATTTCAGAAATCTCAGGCTGCAACTCAGCCCATGGTGCTTGTGCCACCAAATCTGCATGCCCTGGCGGCCTGCGTTTGGAGCTGCCGCACTGGCAGCGACTGTGCACAGGAGGGCAGACAGCTGACAGCTGTGCTAACTCCCGATGGTGTCCCCTAGCGCATTTCAGGTGAAGCACTACCTATGATATTTCGTTATAAATGGCTTTTTTGTTGTCTCTCTTTCATATTGGAGTGACAGCATTTCACGGATCCTTTTAGAAGTTGTGTGTACAGGTGGGCTAAATTTCAGGACAATGATGGGAACATCATAAAATGTTTTTCATAAAGAAGGGAGCCGAGACTGTGGGGCTGAGAACTGTGGTCCTGCAGGTCAGAATGGCCTTGGAGGAATCCTACAGTGAGGAGTGCCTGAACCCCAGCAGTGGGAGATGGAAGAGGGCAGTGGGGGTCTATCTCAGGAGGGAGACCCATGCACACAGTCCCTCTCTGAAGCCAGCCCCTGGGGAAGGTGAAGGGGGGCCAGGAGCCACTGCTGAACTTTGAGGGTACAAAGACCCATGCACCCAGGCACCTGCACCTTCAGGCCTTAACACCTACAGCACTACGTTCGGCCTCCATGAGGAACCCCCAAATTTCAGCTATCTCCCACATAGAGCTAGGCCCCATTAGACCTCCTTTTAAAAAGCTTTTTTTAAAAAATTTATTTTATTGATTTCAGAGGGGAAGGGAGAGGGAGAGAGACTAGAAACATCAATGATGAGAAAAAAATCATTGACTGGTTGCCTCCTGCACATCCCCTACTGGGGATTGAGCCCACAACCTGGGCATGTGCTCTTGACCAGAATTGAATCCAGGACCCTTCAGTCCAACAGGCCAACGCTTTATCCACTGAGCCAAACCAGCTAGGGCCCATCTGACCCTTTTAAGTCCTGGACTATTCTGGCCTCCTGATACTTAAAAGGTTAGTGGAATTCTTGGAATATTTCCAAGGATAACCACAAATATGCTCAAAGAGAATACACAAGCCCTACAAGGAGACAGAGGGAGCTGAGCCCCAGCCAGGAGAAGGAAGCCTGGGAAGCCCTCCACAAAGGTCCCAGGGCTGCAGAATTCCAAGGACAAGACCCCTGTCCGCTTGCCTGTCGAAGGCACAGCACAAACGGCTGGAAGGACAAGAGCCCAAGCTGAGACTGGGCAGCCTTCCAGAGGAGGTGCCAGGCCTGAGCCAGCCACTGAAGAGCCACAGAACCGGCTTCCCTGGGGTACCGACATATTCCTCAGCGTAGGTTCTTGTTAGCTTTGGACCCTAAATATAAGTGTGTGAGACTATCCTTCAGGGTCTGAACCTCTCCTAGGCTTTGACAGTACAGGAAAAGTGAACTTTTAAAGTCACACCAGAGGTGGTTCAGGAGCACAGTGGCTGCCACATCCACCTGGCCCAGCACCTCAGCATCTGGGCACAGCCAGGCCTGGAGTCTGTCTGACTGTAGCCCCCTGGAGTTTCTAAATGTGGGTTAGCCCAGATTTTGTAGAATTGGGTCCAAGGAACAGGGTATAAAGGGTTTTTAAAAAATGTGTAGAGGCAATGCTAGCCTCAGACTGATCAAAAGCTTTATCTATTGATAGTTGTAGGTCCATGCCAGAAGGAAACCTGGAGCTGGGGTAGGGAGGGGAGTGGAGTAACTGCAAATGGGTACTGTGTTTTCTTTGGGGTGATAGAAGAGCTGTAAAGTTATACGGTGATGACTGAAATAAGAATTTATTACATGTGAGTTATATAAGAAAACTAAGTTTAGCCTGGCTAGTGTGGCTCAGTGGTTGAGCACTGACCTATGAACCAGGAGGTTACGATTAGATTCCTGGTCAGGGCACATGCCCAGGTTGAGGGCTCAATCCCCAGGAGGCAGCTGATCAATGATTTTTTTCCTCATCATTGATGTTTTGATCTCTTTCTTCCTCTCCCTTTCTCTCTGAAATCAATAAAAATATTTTTAAAAAACTAAAAATCTAAGTTTAAAAAAGGAAAAAACCAAACTAGGGGCCTGAGGATGACTTAGTTTGGGTTCCCCAGAAGCAGAGCTTATTTATGTCCCAGGCAGCTCAGTGAGGGGTGCAGAGCCAGGACCAGAGGGGCAGGCCCACAGGGAGAGCTGTGTAATCGAGGAGTCACTTACAGGTAACTCAGCTCCACTCAGCTGGAGGGAATTTGGGGAGACAGCAAGGACACTCCTGAGTTACCTCAACCAGGGCCAGGCCAGGAGATGAGCGTGTGGCCTCTAGCAGTCCTCAGCAAATGGCCCTCCCAGGGACTTCAGAGGGGAGCAGGATGCCAGTGAGTGTGGAAGGGAGGGGGGCACTCACTCAGAGCCAGATCTGAAGCTATTGCTTCCTGATCTGGGATATTGGGGAAGAAGAGCAGAAACTTACGTTCAGTGCCCTTCTCCCTGTTTCTGTTTTATCCCTCCTCAGCTTGGGGGGCAATTACCAGTGGGAATCTATTAGGCTGACAGGCTGACCCATTGGGAGTGACAGGGCTGAACAGAGGAGGTGGCTGTGGTGCAGGACCCAGTGTCTTAGTGCCCAGGAGGCAAATGGCACAGGCAGTCTGGGTGCTTGTGAACAGAATGCCGCGTGCGGCTGCCAGGCTGGGAGCGGCCAGGCCCGGGGGAGCAGGCGGGTCGGGTGCGGCCAGGCCCGGAGCAGCGGCTGCCAGGCTGGGAGCGGCCAGGCCCGGGGGAGCAGCAGCCAAGTCCAGAGCAACTAGGTCGGGAGCGGCAGTGACCAGACCCGGAGCAGCTGGTTGTGGAATGAACCAGAGCAACAGAGGCCAGGCCCTGAGCAGCCAGGCCCAGAACAGCTCGCTCCTTGCCTGCCCCTGCCCCACAGCTGCTTCTCAGACATGGCTGGAAACTTTCGTGGGAACTTGAGTGTCTGCTGAATCAAGTGATGAAGGCTTAGATCTGGATGTGTTGAGTTAGTTTAGGACTGGGGTGTTGATCTGTGAGTGCCTTGGGTGGGGCCTGGATGAGGCTGGTGGACCTATTGGGAAATGTCTTTTGTGTGAAGTGTATCATTGGGCATGTGGAGGTATTATTGATATGAGAAAATGCTAAGTAACTGATTTACTATCTGAAAAGGGATTTACTATTGGGGAAATTGAGGGAAGAAGAGACTGAACATAAACTGCACCTATGGATGAGGACAATGGAGGATGGGGGGGGGGGACGGAGGGTGGGGGGGGAACCTGGTGGAGGGGGGAAGAAATGAGGAACCTTTGTAATAATATGAACAATAAAGATTGCTTTAAAAAAAAAAAAAAAAAAAAAAAAAAAAGAATGCCGCGTGCATTCACTTCTAGTCAGAAATGTACAGAGCAGCTGTGGGCTTCCTCAGTGTTAACTGAACCCTGACATCAAGATGGGCAGGTCCTGGGGGCCCAGCTTCCTGAGGGGCCACTGTTGTCAATGCAGACCCTCTGTCCATTTTTAAATGGGTTATCTTTTTATTATTGAGTTTACATTCTAGATATTAGACCCTGGATCTGCAAATATTCTCTCCCATTCCCCAGGTTCTCTATGACTTTTTTGGTGGTGTTCTTTCAACTTAAAAATTTCAAATTTTGATGAAGTCCAACTATTTTTTCTTTGGTTGCTTGTGCTTTTTGTGTCTAAGAAACCATTGCTTGATTTCACAGAGACTTACACCTATGATGTCTCCTAAGGGTTTTATAGTTTCTCTCATATCTGAGAGAAGTGTCTGCTCATCTGCTGGCAACCTCCTATCATTTGGACCCTATAAACTCCCTTTATCTTTCCTTTCTTATGCCATATCCCACCTTTTTTTTTTTTTTTTTTTTAATCTCTGATTTGGAAAATACAGGACTACCTGGCGGCATCAGGGCTACAGAGGACACTGACTCTCTGGTCAAGAGAGTGCCCACCTGTGCCCAGGGCCAGGGTCTTCAAGGGAGAAAGCTGTGAAGTAGGGCCGCGGGAGGGAAGGAAAGAGGACCCTTCACCTGAAATGAGCTTGCAGAGACAGCCCGCTTCAGACCGCTGGTCAGCTGTGCCGCAGACTGTTTAGTCATAAACTGTGGAGCCAGCAGAGGGAGCCAGAGGCTAAAAGCTGGAGACCCGCCCTGCAGGTGAGCCTTTACCTGACGGAGACCATGAGGGACAGCACCTCCAGGAGCAGGGCCACCCCGAAGACCACCAGGGTGACTGGCTGGGGAGGTGTGGTAGTGGCTCCGTACTTCAGGAAGCAGGTGATGGAGAGAATCAGAAACACTGTTGTTGACAGAAACACATCCAGGAGGGAGCTGAAGGTGGCACTGGCAAAAGTCTTCACGGGAGAATTCTTCATAACCTGTTTGGAGTATGAGAAAGGTGGAGGTGCATGAACAGATGCTGTGACAGATGGTCATGGAGTATTGTTTAGGTGGAAAAACCCAAACATTCGCCTACCCCCCAACCAGTTACAGGGCAATAAGTGCTTTGGGTGGGCCATCACCCTACTATTTCTCTGCTTAACAACGAGGAAACTAAGGCACAGTGAAGTTCAGGAACTTGCCCAAGGTCACACAGTAACTGATTACACACCAGTAAGTTCTCACAGGCACATTGCATACTGACCCTGAAAAGTGAGTTACTGGCTGGTAAAGTCCCTGATTCTGTGTCTGTAAAGTCAGCAGCACAAAAGCCATGTGCTGGGAGCTTCCCCTGAATGTCTGGGTCCCAGGTTCAGGGAGGGTAAAAGCTGGCTTCATGGCGGAAGTAACAGGCAGGGACTGAAGCAGCAGCAGATGAAATTACAGGGCCTGGCTCTGTGCGGGATGCTGGGATAGACACGAAACAAGGCCCAAGGGGAGCACACAGCCTGGTGGTGGATGCACCAGCTGCAGGGGCAAGGAACTGGCAATGACAAGCCTTGGTTGCTAGACTCGAGAGAGCAGAAGGATTTGGAGTTTTCTCTCTTGTGTAGATAGATTCATATAAAGATGCAATTTAGAGCTTATAGACTGTGGGAAATCAATATTAGCTTTCCTTTTTCTGTCACTCAGGAAAACAGGAAAGATTTCCAAAGCACAAAACTAATTGGGAACTGTCTGGTAACAACAACACATTTCTTTAGTAAAATGATAGGGAACATGCACCTCTTCTTGATAGCTGGTCCTGTAGGCTTGCTCTAGCTCCTGATCCAGGAAGTTCAAGCTGAACTGATTAATGGGTGGCTTAAAAAAATAATCTTTCATCAGGCTAGAAGAGATGAAAAATGCAATTGATTAACATGAAGCACAGTCCTATTTATTATATCAGCAGGTTGCAATTCGTTACCAAAACATCACTCATTAAGTATATCACAAAAGCTGTATCTAAAGGTCACCAAATGACTTTTTTAGACATGGCTCAGCCACTCCTTTTAGAATATATCTCTGGAAAGCAATTCTAAACATAAGCACATTTTATGTCTCTCCCCCTACCCCCACTAAAGAATGACCATCCACCATAATTAATAGCACACATCCGCAGAACCCTGCTTTTGAAAACATCTTCCTGATATTCAGGATGGGAGGAAGGCAGCTTTTTTGTTCTAGAAAAGCATCTTCTGAAGGACCAGCAAATCCCTGTACGAAGAGCACTTAGGTAGATCTGAAGGCTTCCAATGAAAACATAATTCGGAGCCGCCTGTCCTGTCATTCAGAGAACCAACAGTAAACACCACCACCAAAGAGAGCTAACAGATTGTTATCACAAAATTGTGATTACAGTTAGTGTAATTTTGATGCTACTGTCACAAATGCAGATTGGGTGTGAAACCTGAAAAATGGTAACACCCAATGACTTTGATAGCAGAGAAGTGAAACATGTTTTTATAGCAGAGAAGTGACTCATTCTTTTATGGATTGCCAGCAAATAGTTAATATCCTTTTTCTATTGTAGAAAATTGCTGTACATTAAAAAAAAAAAGTTAACATGGTTTTAGAAGGCAAATACAGCTATGGGTGTAGTCTCTCTCCCTTATATAATAACTACTAGAATTAAATCAGATGGAATAGGTAAAGTGCCTAGCATGTGCCTGTCACACAGCAGAGTTCACTGTACATATGCCTCCTCATTCCTTTGCAACAGAATGGACTCTCTATTTTGCCTTTAAAAATTTTATTGAATCGATTGGGGTGACATTGGTCAACATGAACATATAGGTTTCAGGCATGGGTTTCTATATTACAAGCTCTGTATATTGCACCGTGTGCCCGCCACCCAAAGTCAAATCTCTCCTGTCGGCTTATACAGGATCCCGCAATCCCCGCCCAACCCTTCCCTCTGGCAATCGCCACACTGCTGTTTGTGTTTACGAGTTCCAGTTTTGTATCCCACATATGAGTGAAATCATATAGTTCTTATATGATTTAAAGAGGCTTTGATGCCACTGCATAATTAAACCTGTGACCCAGGACAGAATCCTGTGCTAAAGAAAAAGTGCTACCAACTGACAAAACTGGAGCTCTGGCCGGATGGCTCCGTTAGTTGGAGTGCATCTGGTATACCAAACGGTTGTGAGTTCTTTTTCTGGCCAGGGCCATACCTAGGTTGCAAGTTTGATCCCCAGTTGGGGCATGTACAATCAATATTCCTCTCTCCTCTCTCTCATCTCAGTTTGATTAAAAAACAAACAAACGACACTGGAATATGGATTACAGATATAAAACATCACATGCCATATTTACCAAATTTGATAACTATGATTATATGAAAGAACATCTTTATTTTTAGGAAACATAGTATTAAAGGAGTAAAGAAAATGATGTATTCAACTACTGTCAAGTGGTCCAGAAAAAAATTTATAAATTTTATAGAGGAAGACAGAAAGAAGAGAGAAAGAGACTAAAACAAACAGTAAAATGTTAAAAGTTAGAAAAATCAGGAAAAGGATATAAAGAGAATTCTTAGTATTATTCATGCACTGTTTCTGTAAGTTTCAAATTACTTCAAAGTAAAATGATATATTGACAACACATGACAGACAAGATAATTTAGAGAAAGGGAGAGGCTTATATCTGCAAACTTTACTTCAATTCCCATAGCTCCACTCTTACCTGTCTTCTTTGATCACATCAACAAAGTGGGCGTCTGTTTTCTCCCGAATGTTCTTAAGTCTCAGTGGAAGGAGAGCAGACTGGTCCAGGCTGACACCTGCCCACCTTCCCTTTTCCTGTAACATCTCACACAGGGAGGTCTGGCTGTTGGTAAGCTTCTCCTCTTGGGGAGGGCTCAGGAGTCCGTTCTGTGTTTTGGAATTATGTCCTCCAGAAACCTGCCTCAAGACAGAGGGAAGCAGACACAGCGGTGACCCGTGGATGTGCAGCATGCTATTCCATCCAACCCCTCTGCTATGCTGGAGTCCCACTGCACTGTATGCTGCACCTTCAAGTCTTGGTCCCAATCCAAAGTCTCAACCTCGCCACCCATCTGCTTCTCCCTATCCCCCTGAATTGGCAAATCACAACTCCAGGCATTCAGGCAACCAGGGTGGGGTGAGGCTCTCAGTTTGCTGATCACCGAACCAGGGTTCCAGAGGGCTCTGGGGAAGGTGTGGGAGAAGTGCAAGGGTGGATCCAGAGAACGAAAACCCATATGGGCTGTAGCTTAGGAAAGGGTGACTGCCTGTCTGCAAGACAGACGGACCTAGTGTGACACAATCCATGGGCAGACGACATGAGAGTAGAGGATGACCGAGAGGGCTAGCTGGAGGGCCAGCCTTCACAGCTATCGAATCTGATTTCCGCTCCAGTCCTGGCTCTGGTTCCAAGGAGGTTTCTCTGGCAGCTTCCTTGCTGCTGTCCCTAATCCCAAGCCCCTCTCCATGATGTGTCTCTTATCCTCAAGTCCCCTCTTCTCTTTGCAAACCCACAGTCCACCATATGTTAAATCCAACTTCCAGCCCCACAAACCTTCCCTAATTCTCTAATCCACATGCCTTTAAACCCTTATTGCCCCTTAGGGATCCATCCCATTCAGTTCAGCATCTGATTACTTCTCAGGGGTTAGTTCTGACTCATTCCTGTTCTTTATTGGTCTGTTCAAAACGCAAAAGGACTAGAACGTATGGAATGGGTCACCTAAGAGGAAGTATTCCCAGAACCGAGAAGTTGACAATAGGAGTTTCATCTCAGGTGGACGCACCGGAGAAGACAGTATGACACCCAGGAGCTTGTTACCTTGTTTTTATTTTTATGCTCCTCCTGACAGCCATTTTGCATTGCTCCTGCTTCTGCAACAGCTTCCGATTTGGGAGCAAATGTAATTTTGCATGAAGGGCAGGTCTACAAGAAAAAACAAACCATAGGAACTCACCAGGAGAACATGACTACAATATATAATTCAAGCAGTCCTCTATTGTTGCAATTTGCTGTCACAGGGAATACTTGTAACCAAACGGAAGGCTTACTGAACCACACCAGGATGAGTTAAAGACAAACTGGAAAAGTGAAAATGGAAACACATCTACACAAGGACCTGCACATGAATGTTCCATTACAGCCAAGAAGTACAAACAACTCAAGTGTCCATTAACAGATGAATGGGTCAATAAAATGTGGTCTACCCATACAATGGAATATATTACTCAGCCATCAAAAGGAATGACGTCTTGTGCTGGCAGGTGCTGCGCAGTGGTTGGAGCACTGGCCCTCACACTACGGGGTCACGCATTTGATTCCCAGTCAAGAGCATGTGCCTGGGATGCAGGTTCAATCTCGGGCCCTGTTGGGGTACGTATGGAATGCAACCGATCAATGTGTCTCTCTCACTTAGTTGTTTCTCTCTCCTCCTCCTTTCCTCCCTTCCACTCTCCTAAAAATCAAATAGAAAAAATATCCTTTTAAACAAAACAACAAAAAGGAAATGAAGTACTGATTCAGGCTACAACATGATGAACCTTGAAAACATTATACTCAGTGCAAGAAGCCAGACACAAAAAGCCACATACTGTATGATTCCACCCATGTAAAACGTTTAGAAAAGGCAAATCCACTAAGATGCAAAGGAGATTGGGTGTTGACAGGGGGGAGAGGGATAAAGGAATGGAAAGTGATCTAATGGACATGAGGCTTCTTTTTGGAGGTGATGAAAATGTTCTAAACTTGATTGTGGTAATGGTTGTAGAACTTTGTAAATATACTAAAAACCACCAAATTGTACACTTCAAAGGATAAGTTTTTTAGTATTTGAATCATCCTATCTAATAAAAGAGTAAGATGAAAATTGACCCTCACTCCAACACACAAGATGGCTGCCCCCATGTGAACACAAGATGGCCACCACAAGATGGCCAGCAGGGGAGGGGAGTTGGAGGCAACCAGGCCTGCAGAGAAGGGCAGAGGGGGGTAACCCAGGTCTGCAGGGGAGAGCAGTTGGGGGGGACCAGGACTGCAGGGAAGGGCTGTTAGGGGCAATTAGGCTGGCAAGGGAGCAGTTAGGCATCAATCAGGCTATCAGGGGAGTGGTTAAGGGTGATCAGGCTGGCAGGCAGAAGTGGTTAGGGGCAATCAGGCAGGCAGGCAAGCAGTTGGGAGCCAGAAGTCCTGGATTGTGAGAGGGATGTCTGACTGCCCATTTAAGCCCAATCCCAGTAGGGCAGTCAGACATCCCTCAAGGAATCCCACTTTGGAGAGGGTGCAGGCTGAGCTGAGAGACACATACCCTGTGCATGAATTTTGTGCACTGGGCCTCTAGTATCTTAATAAAGCTGCTATTGAACAAACGACCTAACATTATCCCATATTAAGGTACTAAGCCAAGGTCTATGAGCTCTATATGATAGTGAGCTGTTCCTATAAAATTGGCTGAATAATCAGAGAGACCTGTTTATAGACCTACGATTCTTAAAAGCTTACAGAAATTAGCTGAACTGGAAAAGAAAAGGCAAGACAACCCTGATAGGTAGAGTAGAAAGGGCAGCAAGGCTTTCATTTCTCCTAAACCAGGGTTCAAATTCCATCTCTAATCCTTATTGTTTTGGATGGCCTTGTTCAAATCACTCATCTCAGTTATCCTATTTAATAAAGAGTAATATCCAAATTGACCATCACTCCAACACACAAGATGGCTGCCCCCATGTGGACACAAGATGGACACCATAAGATGGCCAGCAGGGGAGGGCAATTGGGAGAAAACAGGCCAGTAGGGGAGGACAGTTGGGAGGGACCAGGCTTGCAAGGAAGGGCAGTTAGGGGCAATCAAGCCTGCAGGAAGGGCAGTTAGGGGTGATCAGGCTGGCAGAGGAGCGAAGCTGAGGGCGACCCAGGCCTGCAGAAGAGAGCAGTTGGGGGGAACCAGGCCTGCAGGGGAGGGCAGTTAGGGGTGACCAGGCCTGCAGGGGAGGGCAGTTAGGGGTGACCAAGCCTGCAGGGGAGGGCAGTTAGAGATAAACAGGCTGGCAAGGGAGCAGTTAGGCATCAATCAGGCTGTCAGGGGAGTGGTTAGGGGGTGATCAGGCTGGCAGGAAGAAGCGGTTAGTGGTAATCAGACAGGCAGACAGGCGAATGGTTGGGAGGTAGCAGTCCTGGATTGTGAGAGGGATGTCCGACTGCTCATTTAGGCCCTATCCTACTGGGATCGGGTCTAAACCGGCAGTTGGACATCCCTCAAGGTGTCCCAGATTGGAGAGGGTGCAGGCTGGGCTGAGGGACACATACCCCCATGCATAAATTTTGTGCACCAGGCCTCTAGTTGTATCTATAAAAAAAGAGCAATAAAAAAAAAATAAGAGCAATAACACTTTTCTTGAAGATATGTGGTAAGGATTTAATGGATATGTATGTAGTTAGCCTAACATCATCTCTGGCTCTCAATAAATTTATTATTATTAACTAGAGGCCTGGCGCATTAAATTTGTGCACTTGGGGGGAGGGTGACTCTCTCGCAGTCCGGGAGCTCTTGGGGGATGTCCAACTGCCGGGTTAGGCCTGCTCCCCACGAGCGGGCCTAAGCCGCAGTCGGACATCCTTAGCGCTGCTACAGAGGCAGGAGAGGCTCCCACCAATGCTCCTCACCAGCCATGAACCACCAGGGGGTATCTCCTGCCCCCTGGTGGTCAGTGCACCTCATAGTGACCAGTTGTTCCTCCATAGGTCTATTTGCATATTAGCCTTATATTATATAGGATGTGATCCATTAATCTAGGAAGTGTCATTGAAATAGCAACTAACTGCTTCCAGTAGAGGGGACAGATTTAGCAGCAAAGATTTATTAGGACTCAAAAAATGTCCTTGCATAGCATTGGAATGCATTGTAGGGGGCTAGATATTATTTCAAAAATTTAAAGTAAGTGTCATCACATCTCAAGTTAGAGTTCTAGATATTATTTCAAAAATTTAAAGTAAGTGTCATCACATCTCAAGTTAGAGTTCAGGCCCACACTGTATTAAATAAAAGAAATAAAGATGCTAACGAGGTATATAATTTGGGAATCTTATATAATGCAAAAGCTAAGTTTGGACGTTTGTATTCATCAAAAAGTGAAAATATACATGCCAAAAGACACTTAATTAATACACCTGAACTAATACACCTGAACAAACAGTAGCACTTAGGTAAAAAACTGCTTATAGCTCTTTAAAAACTGACATTATTTACAGGGGTAAAATGTTCTAATTGTCAATACTTAGCGATAAAATTATTTTAAAGCATACTACGTATTGCCTGAGTTAAACTTCAAAACATTTTACCAATGGGACCACTGATCTTCTCAAATAACAAAATTCAATCTCTACCCCCATACCATATCTCTCTCTCTCTCTCTCTCTCTCTCTCTCTCTCTCTCTCTCTCTCACACACACACACACACACACACACACACACACAGTGACCCTCCTAGCCCCCAAGGGAGGAATGAGTAAATGTACCCAATACACATGCAGCATGGTCCTATGGGTGCCCCTAGCGGGTAATGGAAGTAACTGACTCAGGTGGTGGCAGGCTTGCTTCTCTAGGGAAACACTGGCCTTTTTAGGAGCCAAGCAGGCCTGGGGGTGGAGTGGATACAGCTTGGAGTATGGGAACGGTTTGAGAGAATTAATCAAACCCTTAAGGTCCAGGGATTCACGAATCTCGTAAAGACATGATGAAAGAGTATAAACAGTTACTTCTCTGACCACTGTTTAAACATTAAGACTAGAGAAGTATCGTAACAGTGATTAAAGGTACTGGCTTTGAAATTAAACTGAATCCTGCTTCTACCACTTAATAGAGATCCTCTCCAAGTCTCATTTTCCTCCTTGGTAAAAAGGAATTGTATCTACCCTGAAGAATTATTATAAGGGCAAAATGAGTCAATACAAGTAAAGCATGTCAGAGGTGTTTTAAATCAGCTTGGTTTTTGTGCACTGGCTCTAATCCCATGAGACTGACTTCCTAGAATAGTGGATTGAGGATGATGAGGTCACGTGCTGGCCCAACAGGAGGAGAACTGAGATTGACTTGTGATGCCTGCCATGGGTGAGGGTTGGACAAGAGGAGATGTGCATGCATTTATCACAGCTTGGCTCTGCACAATGCTTGATGTGTTAGTGAGTATTCAGTAAGTGTTGGTATTTAATATTAAAATTTCTGGCCACCATCCTTTCTGGTTATAAAGTGAGTTCATCTGGTAATTAATGTCCTTGATCACAAACAGCCATCCTTGGTTTCTGCTCTTGCACAGTCATTTCTTTTTTTTAGGTATTTCTTGACATCAGTTGTTTCTAAGTATTTTTCCCTCTTCAAGTACACTTTTGATGCACTTTAAAACAAGCCATCTGTTTCTTAGGAATTCCCATTGCACACTAGTGTTACATTTATAAGATGTTTATGCATTTATACAAACAGTGACCATGACCATCAAAGGGCACTTGCAACGGGTATGTGGGTTTGCTTCCCTTCATCTGCAACAGCTGTTTTCCTTTAAGTATTTACAGGTTCATTTTAATTGAGTTAAAGCAGCTCACAAACTGCTTATTACTAAGCACTCAGACACCTCTACAAAATGTCTGACAACCCATGAAATGTCCATCTTTCCCTCTTGGCCGCTGCCAGTAACCCCATCCCTGAGTAGCCCTCACTGGGGAGCATTTCCGAGTTGGGAAACTACCTGGGATATCCTGCGCCTTGAGAGGCACATCTGACTCGCATGGTGGCAAGCACGTTAGATAAAGAGCACTGTTGTCATGATAGCAGGTGCTATGATCCAGAAACGCCGCTGTGCAGAGGGCATTCCAGTGAATGATAGCCAGGCCCTCATCCAGGTGATGTCTGCAACCTCCTGTACTTGATCTCAATTAATCCT